CCCCAAAACCCCAAAACCCCAAAACCCCAATTTCTAACACAAAAACTGAAAAAAATGGAACTTGACCTAGACCAAAGTAAGAATTTACCAACTTCAAATGAAATTTCAGGAACAAATTTCTAAAATTTTAGGTATGGATAAGTACTCAGTGGAAGAAATAGTACAAAAAATAGGAAATATGGTGAAGGGAAGGAAGGAATATGAGGGGTTATAAGCAAGAAAGTGGCTGGGAAGGAGGAAGGGGGTAGAGGGGTGATTAAGGAGATTATGGAGGATGAGAAGTTTAGAGAGTTTTGTGTGAGGTTTACGTTGGATGCGATTGGGAAAGGAGCGATTACTGTAAGTTTGGGTGGTGAGGGTTGTGGTTTATGTGATAGACGTTGGATCAAGCTGATTTTCCAGATTTTTCAAGCTTAGGATACCTTCGAGCAAGTATTAAGTCGCAGAGAGAGTGTATACGAAATATAAAAAGACAGTTTTCAAAGATTTATGAGAGGAACTTAAAAACAGAGGTAAGAAAGATTATGATCAGCCTCTATTATCTAGCAAATTTTGGTAAAGTTAATATCTATTTTTGTGGACAAAATTTTAGGATTCTATTTTAAAATAAGACTTTATTCATTCAGAAACCCTTATCTAATTGTTATAGTCTCTTTCAACCACGAATTTAAACACCCGCTTTCATAGTCTAAGCGGGTATCTGAGCTATTTAAACTCAAATTCAGCAATGAGCTTACAAATGGATAAAGAATATTCAATAAAATTCGCGAAATCTTTAAGTAAGTAAAATTGGATTTCCCTTCAGCTCATTATGGTTACTAATGCTTCAATGCTGGGAAAGGGAAGTAGAAATTTTAGGAGAATGCATACTCTAACTCCTAATGTAGTGAACTATCGGCTCCCAAAATGCTCAGAGATTTACCTTTATTCAGTCCATAAGAGACCTGAGTTAACCAAGAATATCCTCAAAAGATCCTTCCCTGAACAAATAGAAGGTTTTTCATTCGATGTAGGATTAATACATCTCATTCTGTAGAACAGAGGAGTAGATTTTGCAAAGACTAAAAAGATCAACATTGGCAGATATCTCAAAGAATTATCTCAGGTTATCCCAAATGTGACCCACAGAGTTACTTTCAAACATTTCGAAAGTAAGTGACTGGAGTTACATAATTTATTTTTGTTATTTCATCTTCTTACAATTTTTAACAAATCAAAGAATAAACTTTGAAATGCATTGCATCACAAAATAATAACATCTCTAGTTAATCAGTATCAACTTTCTAAGTTGTTCTATCTATCAAGAGAAAAGAAGCAAGTGGGGTTTAGAAACTGTAGGATACATCTTAAGACACCTCCTGATTTATCCAAATCCCTTAAAGGATGTAAAATCGAGACACTAAACTTTGATTCTTGAGGTGAGAGTCAATACAGCGACTGGGAAACCCACCCAGAATACCTCTGCAACCTAATAGAAAGCCTGTCCCAATGTCCAGACCTCCAAGACAGCTTAACCCAAATCTCTCTATGCTGGATAAAAGTGCCCAAAGAAATCCAAATAAAAATCTTCGAGCAGCACCCATTCAAAAAGGCCACTGTGTACCCCTACTTGACCTTTTCACCGAACTAAAATGCTAAAATCTACTAATTTGGTTAAAATTAGTTCTATCTCAGTTTGAGTTTTGGCCGGCTAGCAGGGATTTTGAGTGAAGGATTTTTAGAGGTTGAAGGCTTTGGGTGGATTTTGGGGTTCAATTGAATTTTTGAAGATTTTGTAGAGGGTTTAAGGAGGTTAGGAAGGAAATGGAAAGGTTTAGAGGTAGAGAAGGGGGGTAGAAGGGATGGTGGGGAATTTTGTTGGGATTTGTGTTTAATAGAGTCAGAGTTTGGAGTTGATTTTTGTGGAATTTTATTAAATATATTTCTTTATCACAAAATCTCTCTCAAAACCATACTCTATTAAACCTCTTGCTCTCAATCCCCTTCCTCAAGGCTGGGGTTTTGGGGTTTTGGGGTTTTGGGG